CCCCCCCTCAAAAAAAAGTCCTGGAACCGCGTACTAGTGAACAAAATGGTACTAGTGATCAAAATTATGTTTAAGTTGAAATTTGAAAGCTTGAAAACATGCTATCAAACTGTCGGTTATCACTATGCAAGTATGTATGTAGGTGAGACACAAAAATTTCTTTCTAATGACAACATTTGAATTATTTTGGCTCTTTTGCTAGTTTCTGATAACCAGTAATTACCAGTTCGGAAATTGTGAAAAGCATTAAAGCACCAAACATAATATTGAGGACCGAAAGTTTTGTCGAACCGTTGTCAAAAAATTGCAGTTTCTTCCCACCATAGTAGTTTTGCATGGCACTAAAAAAACTAATCGTAAGGTAATAAATTAGGTAAACTAAGGTAAAAAAGTTACTAAGGTAAACTAAGGTACTTAGGTAAACTTAGGTGATAAAACTATTACAGTCAGCACCGCGGAAGTCACTATGACGTCAGGACCTCAAACTTGGGTAATAAAACCATTGAGATCACTAGCGCGAAAGTCGCTGTGACGTCAGGACCTCAAACTTGGGTAATAAAACCATTGAGATCGTTAATGCGAAAGTCACTGTGACGTCAGGACCACAGTCTTAACTTGATGACGGTCCATTGAGAGATGTTGGAGGTAAGTCTGAAGAGTCGGTGTATTTTATAACGTTCTTCTCCACCAGTATAATGAAACTGCTTTGCCATTTTTCTGTACAGCGGCTGGTTTCATGGCCTGCTACAGGACAGAGCATGTATAGATTTATAGTGACTAAGGCTATGCGCCGATTTTGTTGGTTAGCGACACTTGGCGTATCCCGCTACGCTATGGATGTAAGCGGCGCACATGGGCTCCGGCGTCCATGTTACATTTTTTGATGTCTGGGCGCAATGGGGGGGGGGGAACCTTTTGATAAGCACAAGCACATAGCGCACCAAAAATTTCACAGCGTCATTCTTGAATAGAGCATAACTGTATCTCTGTAACTGTATATTGCGGTCCACCTTAGAGCCAGTTCTCAAACGACTTCTCGGAGAAGACACACCGTATAACTTGTTCACCTCCTCTCCTACGTCAGATTCTATAGATTACTCTTCTGAAATGGATACGGGCCCCATTGAACGAGCTGCGTAATCGTCTTGATTCTGTATATCTATGTAGTGTGACGAGAAACTATTATCATTCCGGCGTTGACCTTAACTACCTCTGTTCTTATTAATCATATCATTAAGTCGCCCTGCAATTAAAATGGCGTGCTGTATACTCTCTGATTGTGGCAATGTGACTCCACCGTATATATTAATGGACCAACACCTGCACCTGACTAATAATACTGAAATTCCTCGCGGACACTTTGTGATGGAATATGTCAAAATGGAGCTATCCTGACAAATGTTTACTGTAATTAAGAAGAGCTGGCAAAAGTTCTATTTGGCGATGATTGGATGTATACCCTGCTGCATGACGAAGCTGCATATCTTCTCAGATAACCGCCGGGAGCAGGCGGCCATGCGAATTTTGAGCAAGCGTGCACCGGAAAAATAGTTCGTTGATTTTTTGCCGCCCGCTTGCAGAAATTTGGAAGAAAGTTGGCGAAATTAAAGACGAATGTTTGAAGAACAATCGCGGTTTCTTTATGGATTAGCTGCGGCGCAGTGGCCGCATTCTCGCGGACTTTCCGCGAGAATATGCAAAAATTTCGAGGGCCGCACGGTCCTTTGTGGAGGACCGCGCAACCCCCAGGTACTTTCCGCTAGGAGAAAGTACCTCAAACTTGAGTAATTAAACCAAGGGTGACACCTCTGCCACACAGAGTCTTACCTGCGCTCAACGTACGCCCAAAAATGCCTAAAAAGAGTCCGAGCGCTTGCTGAAAGTTTGGCCAGCGCTCGCTGAAAGAAATTATTTGCCGAGCGCTTGCAAAAAATGCTGTATTGCTGCCCGCTGGCAGAATATGCGACCGTAAAGGAAGTGCCGCCCGCTGAAGGTTTGACCACGCCCCAAAATTCTGCTGACCGCCTGCAGAAAAGCGTGAGTTTGCGGACCGCCTGCCCCCGGCGATTATCTGACCGCGGCTTTATCAGCTGGATTTACAACGGTGAGGATACGCGCGCGCCGCGTTCGCGCCCGCTCAACTAAAACTGCTTCTGCGCCTTCGTATGCACCATGTACTTTGTTCTCAGGCTCTGCCCAGGTTGTCGTAGGTTCACATTAAAGGTAACGAACATTATTCATATTGCTAATATATTGCCTTAAAATCATCCCTTACAACAGAAACACAGATGAAAAAAGTATATAATCCCTCTACCATCCATTAGAATAATCATCGTTACCGACCCTCATTTGAACAACGCGCATACGGATAAGCGAAACTTAATAACGTAGTGTCTAGAGCAGGGACCTGGATGTAACAACTAATTATACAAGTAAGAGGCAGTCGGGCGCCTTTTCTGGTCGCGTTGGCTATGTAGTGCAGCTAAGATCTGCGCCGGAATCCGTCGAATAATGGTCTCTAGTGTTAACCTCTTTGCCCTGGCGGCTTTAAATGGCAGGTGTGGGCAATACGTCCCCGACTACGGACGCTTCCGAGTAACAAACCGGAGAAAGCGGCTGACTTATTCCCCACGCCGCTCGGGTCCCACACGCAGGAGGGCCCGCTGAAGCTGTCCATCTCCAGCATAAATCTGGGGCTACCCTATTTTATTGAGAGTTCCCTTGCTGGATCCCCTGTGGGAGTCGGGGGTTCAGTCTATGAAGCAGGTATTAAGCAGGCTTCTTTATGCCACGCGTAGCCGGCCAGCGTAACATATTGGCCTGGAAGAACCTGCGCAGGGAGGAGGATGTTTCGGACCACCGCAGATGAGGAGTGAGCAACAGAATCTTCCAGGGAAGCTACAAAAGACCGGGTTTGGATAAAATAGCAGTCACATATACGCTAGCCCTTTCTTTGTTCATTCTCTTCTTCCCACCTTACTTTGCTCCCCTGCCAGATTGCTCTTTCCTTTTGCCTTTCCCTATTTTCTGTTTCTGAGGATTGGCTTCTGCCTAACCTTCATTCCTTGCCTTTCCCTATGATCGTGTGTTAATGTTACGTTTCGTACGTACTTTTTTCTGATTAGATGGTATGGAGTGATGCACAGACAAAATTGATGTGAGATTATCATCAAGATCAGCTTCACCAAGAAAATCAAACTTTTGGATAAGTTAAGGCTCGCACATTATAAGTACTAAAGAGAACACTCTTCGGAACACTTTGAGCTTTACAGTAGTGCAAAGTGTTCGTCTATTCTTGTTCACGTGATTCACGGCAGGTTAAAAAAAATGGAAACATTTTTCGAAGCAACCTAGTAATATGTATGAAAATTATGCAACACTTGGTGCGCCAAAAAAGCCCCTTCCTCATTATTTGTGAACCATCGACCTCTTCTCGCGCTCTCTATCAGTCTTTTTTTTTCTGTACAATTTACTCGATTTAATTAAGGCATATTCGTCTCAGAATCTTCCTACTCGATTCGTTGTTGAGTTAAATACTAAGCACATTTTTCAAGCTGTTTGCAACAAATCTCACCGAGAAACACAGGATCATATGATGATAACTGTACGCGTTTTTTGAAGTATTTGCCTATTCTCTTCCAAAACTTTTCCCATATTCTGGTAGTGGACAGAATATTTCTATTAAAAAAGAAATGTTCAACTGTAAACCTAATACTATCCAACTGGATTGTTCCTATAATGAGAGACCTCACTGCTTTTACTTTGTTGGGTTTTTTGCTTGTAACTGAATGAGTTTTGAGTTTGGAGCGCAATGAGATACCAGCTTACGTCATGCTTTGATTTTCGATAAAGATAAATGTAATTATAACAGCATTAGCTTCGTTGAAAAAGTAATTTGAAAGAAAAAGTGAAATTTTCTAAGCATCGTTACGTCGCACCTGAGAACAGGGCTCGGCACGAGCTGGCACCAGGGAAATTTCAAAACGAAGTCCCGTTTGATATTGAAAATTTCGTACGAAGTCCCTTTTGACCTGTTTTGGAAACCCGTCATCATTTTTCTATGATGTAAAAAAATGTAGTAGTGTTTTCATGCATTTCTGATTTCATGAAAGAACTTTTCACAGTTTTCTGAGCTTTTTAAGCGGTCGAATCACATCTTGAGAAGCAGAAAAAGCCGATTTTTCGACGGCGGAGCGGACCGAGTGGTCTTCAAATTGCTATAAAACGCTGAAAAGAGAACATTATGAAACTGTTTGTTCTCCGTATGTAATCTTTTACAGTGTAGATACATTTTATGTAAAAAAGTATGAAAACTTATGTGAGCAAAGTGTCGGTGCCAGCTCAGCTGGCACCCAGCTGGCACGGTGCCAGCTAATTCAGAAAAAAGTTGGGCACAGCTTTCATTCACATAAGTTTTCATAAATTTTTGGCCCGTAGTTCCGGTCCACCAACGCGCATGCACACACCAAATTTGGTGTCATACTATTGCGTTTTGGCTGAAAACAACGCCTTTGTTTGTTGATGGACAGCTTGCCAATGGCATGCCAGTGGCATGCCGGTGGCATTTTTGCGGCCGTTCTCCGTCTCGGCCCCTGTAGAAACGATATCCCCTTTGCTTTCCGCGCTAAAAACGATATCCAGCTTGACCCGGTGCCAGTTGTGCTGAGCCCTGCCTGAGAAGGTCAATCAAGCTTGTTTTGTGTTGCGCTATCTTGCCCCTCACCACGCTTCGCTCTACATTGAGCACTATACTTGTATAGTATTTCAGTATAACTGACACCCTTTCTAGATATATACAGATACTTTATAGCAAAAGAAAAACAACGAACATTTCTCTGTAAACAGATGTACAGCTAAATAACTCTTATCTTATACAAATAGTATGGTCACCACGAGTAGGGCAATGTAACTGACTATGAGTAGCCAGTTGAAGATCTAAAACATATATGACTATGTGGAATGGATAAATGAGACAAGCAAGTGAAATGAGTAGAACTTACAGTTACAGCTATAAACCGACTATGTAGATATCCTGCAGATATTCCACAGTACCAAGTTTCTAGTGCGGCTGCTATGATGAGTAAGACTAGGCAGATAGCATACATGAGAAGCAGCTAAAATATATGGAATTGAGACTATTCTTTTGCTAGATTTTAGTTACAGTCTAGTAGATTTTCTACTTGATATATTGTGCTTGCTGTGCCGAGATTATTGCGCGTGAACAAATAGCTACGCCAGTAATGCCGGTCATTTGCTCGCGCAGAATGCCAACAATACTAACATGGCTTTTTTTTCACGCGCAAATTTGGTCGCCCAACCTTGGCACCGCAAGGGCACTATAATGAGCGGATTGACTAGAGTGCAAAAGATCAAAACTGTAAAAATTCTTACCCTTTTCTTTCCCACTGTGCCGAGCACATCTTTACCGAAAAGGTTAGAAAGAAACACAATAAAGTTAAAAATGAATGTAGTGACTAGAATAAATAATATCAACGTTTGCCATCCGAATCCCTGCAAATAAAAATGATTATGCGGATTTTTGGAGGTGAATGTAGATGATTTGCTTACTTGGTAGATGAACTGAAAGTAGAGGTTGGTACCGCTCCATATAAGTGACGAGGCGAAAATTGCAGCAAATCCAAAGCACTGCCTAATGACAACATTTGGATTATTTTGGCTCTTATGTCAATATTTGCTTACGAGTTACCAGTTCGGAATTTGTGAAAAGCATCAAAAGACCGAACATAATACTGAGTACCGAATGTTTTGTCGTCGTACCGTTGTCAAAAAATCGCAGCTTCTTCCTATCGCAATAATTTTGTATGGCACTACTTTGGTTAGAAAGAGTAATTATTGTAATTTCTAATTCACCTTAGTTTTTCTAATTCACCCTCTACTAAGTTTTGAGCACAGACATAAAAAGGAAGAGAAAATCATTCAAGGTTCGACTTGCAAGCCTGTCAATGATTCAAAACTCTGTCATAGAATTCAAAACAGCAGTGTCATCAGTTTGCTGATGTCCTCTTTGTAAATTATCAAAGCCTATGCTGATCTAGCTCTTTTTTGAAGACTTATAATTGTCGAGAAGATAGCAGATAACGGGAAAATTGATCTTTTAGCCCCAAAAAACCAAGAAAAAACTGAGAGTCCGTTTTAAAAAATCTCTAATTTCTAGCTTGCTCAGGCATTGTCATTTTGTATAAAACAATTCTCCATGCAGTTGTTGCATTTTTCTCTCAGTTAAAAATTGAGAAAACGAAGTTTTTCATGTTTTTTTTTCAAAACAATGCTGAGATGTTCTAGCACTGACGGTTGTGGACTGCAGGACCTTAGAGACAAGAGTGTGAATTTTTAGCTTTTTACAGCAGCCGGTTTACGAGAAATATCGAATTTTAAGCAACTAGGCCAGAGAAATTCGAATAAGGAGAGCTAGGTTCGATATTTCTCGTGAACTAGTTCTTCTAGAAGGCTGAAAATTATTGTTAAGCACGTACTATACAACTGCTAGTGCTAGAACATGCACTAATTTGGCAAAAACATGAAAAACTTCGATACAGCAACTGCATGGAGAGCTGTCTTATACGAAATGACAATGCATGAGCAAGTTAGAAATTTTGAAGGATTTTTCTGAACGGACTTCCAATTTTTTTTGGTGTTTTGGGACGTTTGAATCTTTTTTCGTTTTTGGCTTCAATCCTCGCTTGAATCAAAGCTGCTGCAAATCTTTGAGCACTATCTTGTAGAGCTAGGTTTGCTCTATCTAAAAATATATCGAATCCCATATGGGGTATATGATTATTTCGGACTATTGCGGTCTGTACCTATTTTGGTGCAGGAATTATGCATCAACCTAATACTTCTGTGAACACGAAGCGAAAAAATTCTGCAGATGTTCCTCATTTGCAATTTCGATGAACTTGCTTCTAATCACACACATCCAATAGTTCCATCCTGCAACGACGAAACCCGAGAAGTGCTGTGATTTTTTGAATTTTATAAAGAAAAAAAAAACAAGTTAACAATTTTTCAAAAAATCACGCAGTACCTAGTTTGAATTTCGCAGGAAGAGAACTGCGGTTGCGCAATCCTCGTCTGCGTTTTCGAGCTGCATTATACTGCTTCAAGAGCAATCAAAATTCGATTGATGAAATGATTGGAAACACATTCTATACGGCCGAAGACCCCATCTGTTACGCCGTATAATTTACGAGTTTGCTCGGCAAGGTATCTCTAGTATGCTTACAGGTAAAACATGTCAATTTAGTTAGATTGGGGCTAGACAAGGTATCTCCAGATGCTCACAGGTTAAACATGTCAAATTAGGAAGATTGGGCGTCTTGATCAAAGAGAGGTGCACGATGTAAACGCATACTGGTTTCTTTGAGTAGCAAGGAAGGAAGGATGAGGGCCGGTCGTTTTTGGGGGAGAGGGGGGGGGGGGGAGAAAGAAGGGCGGATATAATTATTTTCAAAAGGGCGTATCCTTACTGCACCCCGAGACAAACTTAGGGTGCTTTAATGGTTTTTTACGCAAGGATCTGATTAGAAAATATTGATGGCAAATTTGAGTGAACATTATAGTTACTTAATAGTAATCTTATCAGTTTTATAACATATATCCCTTTCCAAGGGCAAGGGTTTCGTATGAGCATACCCACTGAAGAGTGGAGCGCAGTTTATAAGGAAGGTCCGCGTTTTACAGCTCGGGAATCTGGATTTTATATCCATCCTCGGGTCCTGTCCTCCTTAAGTCTTTGGATATCCATTAATGATGGTCTATTCTCAAATAATCAAACAAATTCTTGATGTTTCCATCAAATGCGTAAAAGTGTGGATGACTGTGAATCAGGGCTCAGCACGAGGTGGCTAGATAAAATGGAAAAAAACGAAGTCCCCCTTGACTTTTGGGAATTTCACCAAATTTCCTGAAAAATTCCCCAAAATCCTCCAAAAAACGAAACGTCGACTAAAAAAACGTCACCAAGTCGTCAATTTTGCGTCTCCCTTCAGTCACAAAAACGAAACCCCCTTTGCTTTTTGTCCCAAAAACGATATCCAGCTTGCTTGTAAGCCACCTGTGCCGAGCCCTGCTGTGGATGACTCTGAGATTCAAAGCTTAGCTCGGACTGAGTTTTGATTCTGGTGCAGTAAATAAACTCAACGTTTAAATGCGAACAAAAGCAATAAAAAACAGCAAAAACATAAACAATTGATATAGATAAACTCAACCGATCCTTTTACAGCCTTTCGTAACAATAGATATAAACAAGGAACACACTATGTGAGTCATCAACCGATGAATAGATGTATGAGTTTTAATATTGCTAATAAACCACATACCAGGTTCCTTAAGAACCCTCTATTTACGGTTATACATTGAAAAGAAATGTTGCCAAGTTTCTAAAAATGATGTCTGTTTTTCTTCAAAGAGAGATAGAAGTGGAAATCAGACGACAGTTACACATCCAAAAAATTGTTGTTTTGGAGTGTTTAGTTTGATATTCACGGGTACGAAGTGACCATAGAGAGCAAATAGCAACTGTTTAAGCGCAGATGCCTACGACAACGCAAGAAATATCTAGATCAGGGCTTGGCATAGGTAGCTTGTTAAGCAAGTTGGATGTGTTTTTGGGACAAAAAGCACAAAGGGTTCCGTTTTTGTGACAAAAGACAAAAATTTGAGACGTTTTTTTAGTCGACATTTCGTTTCTCAGAGATTTTTTGGGTTTATGGTTTAGGGTCAAAAGGGACTTCGTAAAATTTAAGGAAATTTGAGGGCACTTCGTTTTTTTGCAAATTCCAAAAGCCACCTTGTGCCGAGCTCTGATCTAGATAGTCTTCTAGGCCGAAATTTTTTAGGAATCTTGAGCCTTCTGCTCATTTGGATATGCAAGATCCTAATCAGCATGATAAAAACGGTACTACTTTTGAACAAATCCCTTCGCAACCATTCTCTATCATCTAATTAAGCTCGCGCCACATAAGCCTCGTTGTCAGACATCCATAGTTATCGTAGGTGTATAGCGGTAGATACAGGGATAGGTGATATAGAATATAGCTCATAATATACAAAACTGCGATAAACAAGTTTGCCGGGTTCTCCCTAAGATCTAATTTGGGACAACTAAATTTAAGGCTATTGAACAGATCAGATGAAGATGAATATAATTCCAATGTTGAAGACAAAGAAATGAGCTTAGGATAGAAATTTTGCAAAGGACCTACTGTAGCTTACGTTCTGAGAAAGGAATCGGTACCACATTAAACAGTCTATATTACTTATTGGTACGAAGCCAAAAATTCTGCACATTTTCTTCGATGCAATTTCATGTAAAGGTCTAGCTTCAAATTGTACACATCCAACATTTTCACTTTGCGGAACCCCGAGGATGTGCCGCGAACCTTGTAAGGTCCGACAAACTGTTTATGTAATTTTTTTCATATAACGGCAAAAAAACTCCAATGTTTTCGAAAGGTCATGTCCGTAATCCCTGTGTGAACGCAGCAATGTCCCGCTATTGCTGAACACAAAGGTCCAGCAATATCAGGACGTAGGGAGAGGATTGCGATTGTGCAATCCCAGCCTGCGTTTGAGAGAGGTTTTATACTGCTCTAAAAGCATGTACAATTCGGTGGACCAACTGACACAGACTCTTATTTGGCTGAAGGCCCTATCCATAACAGCGTGTAGTTTACACGTTAGCTAAACAAGGTCTCTAGCACGCTCACAGATTTAGCATGTCAGTATAGGACCAGGAAGCGGTATGATCAAAGAGAGGTGCGCGATATTAATTTCGAAAGCAGACTTATATTTTCTCTTGTAGGAAGGTAAACCAACGATGATGCCGACTTTTATTGGACGAGCGGGGGAGAGGGGGGGGGGAGTGGACCGATATTTGTTCCTAAAAAAGAAGGGTGTAACCACGACTCCTGTGACGAACTTCAGGGTGCTTCAATACTCCCTAACGATTTTGAGGACATAATGCCCGAAAAATATGTGGCAAATTCAATTGGCATTGCAATCACTAGCAAGTAATTAAATTCGTCAGTCTTATAAGACATATAGATCCTTTTCCAGACAGTATGCATGAGCATCCCCACCGGGGCGCGAAGCAGCTCCAAAAAAGATGTGGACTTTGAAGTTCAGGAATTCGGATTTTATGACCATCATCAAGTCCTTTTTAGTCTTTGCATTTTCGCAGCTGATAGTTTATCCTCAAATAATCAGCACAACTTCTTGATGTCTTCAATAGAAGGATGAATGACTAAAAGGATGAAGAATGAAGGATGCATAGAAGGATGAATGTCTCTGAAGAAATGTCGTTGCCCGCCGGGGTCATACAAGTGACTGAAAATTGGACTACACTACACTGCTCTACCCTTCAGTATGTTCATCGTAAGCAGGCAATGCGACATCCAAATTTCTGAGCCTGAAGCACGCAGGTCTAAAATTTGGTTTAAAACTTAGCCTGGATCAAGTTTTGATTCTGGTGCTATAAATAAATCAAAAAACAAAATTGAGGTATGACGGTACCACAAAGTAGATGGTGCTGGAAAATAATATGGAAATTTCCGCGTATTATGAATTTTGCTTGCACAATACCTCCCTCCTCTGCTGTTCATTAGCACTCAGTGCTTATCGCTAGATATCTCTTCAAGGCACTGCTAAGACATCTTGCTTTGTCTTATACCTTTCTTGAAAAACGGGAAAATTGGTTAATTCATTTGATTAAGACTAGAGGGAAATTACAAGTTGAGATCAGTGGCAAATTGCAGCTGATAATTTCGTTAAAACAGGAGCGGAAAGTGGGGGACGGCGAAGGGGTGCCCCCTCTTTGGAGATTGGGCCCCAAATTTTTGAATTTACTTACATGTGTTATAAGATCGGGCAAGTGACTTGCCTTTGTGCGTAGTAAAAATAATTCTCAAAAATTTTTTACAAGTGTTGTGGCGCGCAAAAATTTTGTGAAGCATCCCAATTTTTTTTAGAGTGCTTGGCTACCGCCATGCATAAATTTGACAGATTTTTATCGCCCCCCCCCCTTCCAAATGGAAACTTTTTGAGCAAACAACAGCAGCATGAAACGTACTTCCAAAAAAGAGGAGATTTTGCGCCATGCAAGGTGGCAAGCTTGAGTCTATATGAAGAAAAGTTGCTAGGTCTAAAGCACTCCACGACAATAAAATTTCTATTCAGCCACAACTTCCAGTATAACTGCAAGATGGGTCATTTTTGTTCAAAACACTGGATGAGAATGTAGGAGCTTTACTAATGGGTCATATTATTTTCAATGGAAATGTGAAACGTTCATGTAACCCATCGCACGGCAAAATAGAAATATACAGTTTTTCAAGCGTTACCTTATAAGGATCCAAATTCAACACGATCCACACATGTTGCACAAAAGTCGTATTAGTAGGCATAAAAGGAGTGGAGCATTAATATGAACGAAGTTTCTGTCTAATCAATTTTGAAGCAAACAATGCTCAGTGGGTAAAGCAACTTCAAACAGAACCGCGAATGTGAACATTGCCAAATTATATTCACACTAGCACAAATCTCAATTCGTTACACACACACAATGCGCAGCGGCCCGGCTCTTGAAAGTTACCTACACGAATCCAAAAAAAGTTTTCAAAAAGTGCAAGCAATTTTTAATTGTTAATAATTGCTAACCCTTTAAGATTTTTAAAAATTCAAATCAGACTAGTAAAAAAGTTTTTGGGAGTGTGCCGGCTGCCATGCTCCCTTCCCTAAAATTTTGGAGGTATGGATCCGCAAAAATTTTGGAAGTCCCAAAAATTTTCGAATTGACGCCATGATGCACCTTCTTCTGACAAAAATTTTTTGCTGTCCTCTCCTCGAACGTAAATCCTGGGGCCGCCACTTATATTTATAGTACAAAGGAAATTCTTCAATCCCTTCTCCTAAAAAAGAAAAGTAATAGTGCTAACAAATCTAATTCTGTAAAATGGAGCCATGCTTTAGCGGCGCGTTTAGCGTGGGGGTACATTTATCACTTTTATAAGTAGAGATTGAATATGTGGCTAATTGATTGAGAAAAAAGATTTAAAAATAACCAAAAACTTTCCGTTTCCCACTTTACATAAAAGGCAGGGTAGCTCTGTACTACCCTATTTTCAGGTGTATAAGCCGTACCCTTTGTGCTCTAAACGCGAGCAGACCCAGGCGTGCCGCCGCGCATATGTCTCGCGAAGCGGTCGCTTTATCGCATACTGCTCTCACTTAACGCGCTCCATGATGACAACCAGTCTTTTGGCGTGTTCGCCTTTAGAGTGAAAAGGGTGCGGCTTATACACCTGAAAATAGGGTAGTACAGAGCGCTAAAACACGTCCATAGGTCCTAACAAGGAGTAACAGGAGCAGCAGTGGAGGGGGGAGGGGAGTATATAATCTATATGTATATAAAACTCAATGTCTGTGAGGATGTTTGTTTAGTTGTTCGTTCGTTATAGAAACGCCAACCATTGAACCGATTGAGCTGAAACTTCGCACACATATGTTTTCGGCCCCGGCGGTGGTTTATGGCTACTTTTTGAGGCGATTCGCATGGCACTTCTATTGATTTATTGATTTGTTTACTTGAATCTGGTAAAATGAAAGTTAGACGTGCCTCAACCAATCATTTTCCATGATCACGTAAGCAGGGGCGGTAGAGTACATTTCTATCTTAAAGTCGGGAGGATGCGGCAAGTCGTCTCAAAGC